AGTCTTCTTAGTGTCACTTTTCTTCCCTGTGGAGTTATTATTCATTGCAGCTAAAGCAACTTGTTGCTCCCCCTCAGCTGTAACCATCACACTCCGCCTGCTTTCTTCCGATTGAACAAGGGAGTATACCTCGTGAACCGTCGGCAACTCTTTGCTTCCTAGGATCTGAACCCTCCACGGTTCATATGTAGGGTTCAGTCCCAACAAGAAGGCAAACACACGTTGTTGAGAGACCAGCTTCCTGTAGGCCTTAGCATCATCATCATGTTTCCACTCTATAGTCTGATAATGATCCAATTCTTTCCATATGAAGACAAACTACTGTTTCCCTGTTTACAGGTTGAAGATTCAGCTTCTAACTGGTAAACCTTGGCATAATGCCTTTGCTCAGAATAGGTAGTTTTGGCCTGTTCCCAGATCTCACTAGCGGTCTTTGCCCACATAAAGTTCTTCTTCACATCAGGTTCCATGGCTACGAGGAGCCAAGACATCACCATACTGTTTTCTTGGTCCCACCTATCATGTTCAGCTATCTCACCCTTGGGTTCTTTCACCCTTCCATTAATGTAACCAGCTTTACCCCTTGCCGTTACATAGAGTTTTACACTTTTAGCCCACTCCAGGTAGTTCAAGCCATTTAAAGGGGTAATTGCCATGGGAAAAATCATGTTTTCACCTCCCATACCAGTTGTGTTGCGGGTTGGTGTAACCCCAAATGAGGTTGATTCATAATTCGCCATAGGATACTGCTGAAAAACAGTCCAAACACCACACAACTACACAGCAGCCACAAACAGAAWAYCAACCCTCAAGRAATTTACTTCTAGGATGTGAGGAAGAGAACAAGACACTGCTGAAATCAACTCTGAGATGGTTCAGTCATTAAACCAGCCCGGTAATCAGTTCAACACAACCAAGGCAAACATTACTATCAGTCCGACTGCAGCTCATACAGTCTAACAATCCAACATCCAAACAAATATATATAACCAATGAATAAGCCTTTCATACCATTGGCCCAAGGAAGACAAAAACAAGAACACACCTGTCCAGCACCTGTACGAAGGTGCCAACCTGAAATCGACTTCACAGCATCGAACAGAGAAGGAAGGGAGTCTCTATCAGCATTGCCCTTCTCCGACTAGGGTTTCCTTGGTATTACGACCAAGGAAAAAACACAGGAAGTGCCGCAAGAAATCTGCTAGGGTTTCCGCCAATAACCTACTAGGGTTTCTCTGTCTTCCACGTCCAAGAATTTAAAGAAGGAAACCATACCATGTAATCATTCATGGAGAGTGGGAGACGAGAGAGAGAGAGAGAGAGAGAGAGAAAGAGAAGAAAAGGGAGATACAATTGAGAAGGGAAAAAGATATTGCTGGCTGCCGCCAGTTCTCTATTTATATTAACTTAATAAAAAAAATAGAAATTACAAGTGTGCCCCTGGCGGCACACCCTAGAACCAAACTAATAAGGAAAAAAAATGACAAGTAACTAACTGACAGTATCTTAAGAAGTCGGCCTACTACCAGCAACTATAAAGTAACAATTAAATAAACCTTACAACAGTATTAAAGTGCCCCCTCATAGGCTTTTTTGAGTAATAATAAATCAGTGTCCATCCCCCCCCACCAAGATAAAGTTTGGGGTTTAGAGCAGCAAGTGAAGAAGTTTTTGCTCAAGCAGCAGACTCAAAGACGAAAGTAAAGATCGGGGCTAAGACTTTGTAGCAGAGGAAATGATGGTGAAGGGCTTTTCAACAGTTAAAATAAGGGAAAATGGGAAAGATAGGAGTTACCATGTTGAAAGAAATCTAGTTTGGAAGAGATCACTGGAAGCAAAAGATAGGAGTTGCCATGCTGAAAGAAGGAAAAATAGGAAAGGATGTACCTAACATTGAGTGGAATTTTCGAGGGTCCCAGGATTGGTCCGAAGAAGCTTAGATATAGGGGATTCAAGGATCATAGGTCCTGACCAATGAAATGAGCTGAAATTAAATCTTGACTTGATCAAGGGGTGAACCAAGGTATTTCGAGGTGAAATTTGATAAGCAAGGGGTTTTAGGGTATCTGGAGTCTTCTGGTGGTGTCTGAATGGTTAAGTGGGGTTTTTGGGTGGGAAATTTGCAGTTTAAGGGATTGCGGAGTCCAATTTTGGGTGCTGACATGGAGGACAAAGGAGTTAGTAGTGGAGGACACGTGGAGGAGGAGAAGGTGGGGAAAGAGGAAGATTAAAGGACGAGTGAAGAATCAATGGGAGATGAGAAGTCACAAATGGCGGAGGGAGTTAGAAGGAAGTCTATTTCGAGTGGGGTCCACAAAAGGGGAGGAGGCTCTAAAAAAAACTAGAACTAATTTTCATTCTAATGGATTGGGGGTAACAAGAGGCAGGGGTACATTTGGTAAAAAACTAACTAAAGGGGGTAATCCGAAAGAGTGGGAGAAGGGGATATCGAAAAAATAAAAGGAAGATTGGGTCTGGGTGATTGCTAGGTATGAGAAAGGCAAGAAAACCCTGAAGTTTCCATTTGAGGCTTAAGGCAGGAAGAGAAATTTTCCATTTGAGGCTTAAGGGAGAGATGAGGTGGGGACTGTTACAGGAGTAGAAGAGAGGAAGGGGTGAGGTGAGAAGGGGTGTAGAACAAGAAAGCAATGAAACCATTCAAAATGAGGAAGTTGAAATCAGAAAACTAGTGGAGAGGGAGGTGATAGTGGGCAAATCCCTGGGTTTGTTCTTTTGGGGAGGAGAAGAATTTGTAAGGACTGCTTTCAAGCAGTTTGAGAAAAATAGGAGGAGGAGAAAAACAAAAGAAAGGAAAGAATAGAGAAGGATAGAGGTTGGGACGAGGAGGAATTGTTGGATGAAGAACAGTGAAGGGTTGAAATTCTACACTTCTCAAAGAAATAGGAAGGGGGGAGACTAGGATGAGGGTGTTAAGTTAGAATGTCAGGGGATTGAGGGAGAGAAGAAGGGCAGTAATGAGGAATTTAATAAGAATAACCCAGAGGTAGTGTTGTTATAGAAAACAAAGCTGGAGACTTTTGATGTGGGAATGAAGGAGATTTGTGGGGGGTGTGGAGGGGGGTGAACAGTGGAGAATGGTTAGAGATAGAAGATGAAGGGCTATCAGGGGGTTAAGTCATTTTATGGGACTCAGGCATATTCAGAAAGATAGGAAAAAAAATTGGCAAGTACTCGGTCTCAGTAGGTTTGAAGAAAGTTAATGGGGACTAGTGTTTGGGGCTTGACAAATGTCTATGGGCCGAATATAGGAGGGGTGAGGGTTGAAGTTCTGGAAGAGTTGGAAGGGCTAAGGCAGGTGTAGCAGGGTCCATGGTGCATACGAGGAGACCAAGAACAATGGAGAATAAGTCAAAGAATATTGAGATGCTTGTGGCCGCATTTGGCATCATAGTGCCTATCTAGGTTTTGGTGCTCCCAGAGTTCAATCAGTAATCAATCAGACTTGGGGGAGTTCTTAAAATTCAAGCTTGTAATCTTGAATGCTCTCTATGGTCTAGCCTGAATCAGAATTGTATTGGTGGGGTGTCACCTTGACACCTCCCAAATTGTAACTTTCCTTTTTTTAAAAGGGTAAAGTATCATTTTTTTGAATTATTTCCTTTTACTCTTAAAAAAAAAATTGAGTCTTGCTACATGCAAATCTTGTGAGTTTGCTTCTACAAGAACTCCACTGCAAGCAACTGCTATTTTATCAAAGACACACCCCAACCACAAGCTGAATGGAAGCCCAAAGATCTTCAAGATTATGCTCCCTTCACCAATCACCTTCTCATTGCAAGGAATCCAGTTTTCAACAATTACCAGCCCATCCTTCAATTTTAATTGCTTCAAAATTCAAATGGCATAAGGACTGCTGCCTTTTTGGACTGTAATTTGTCGATTACATCACCCAATAGAACTTTTGAATTGCTTACTCTATGCTGGACAGAGACCACCATGTTTTGGCTCCATTGCTCCTTCTCCCCCCCCCCCCGCCCCAACACAATCGTCGGCACAGATGCAGAGCCTCCCAACGCACTTCCAGAAACTCCATCCTGGGTAAAGTTTTTCTCCTCCCACCTCTTACTATTCCCCTTTTCATGTACCATCTAGCTTCGTGTTCCTTCAATGCCTCTGTAATTGCAATCTGCCCCCATTTCTCCCTTCCTTCTGGCAAAACAATCTGCTTCCACCAATTCCCAAAAATTTCTGAGATCATCAAGAAACATCCTTTATTATTGATTCTCTTTTCTATTGTATATTTCTTTCCACCCCTTCCCATTTAGCTTCTCCAACCTGGGGTTGAAACCCCAAAGACCACACCATCCAAAAAGCCCTTGAACCAGCCGACTGATTCTTCGCTCAATAATATCATTGATTTCCTATCCTCTCTAATCTTCAGGGCTGCTGTCCCTTTGCTTTCTTCTAACAGAAACTTCTTTTTCTCCACTGCTAGTTCCTTCTTCCACTTCATAGCAGGTTCAAAGCCTTCATCCATCTTCGTCTTCTCCAACCTTAGTCCTATTCCACTGTGCTCGACCATAATGTCTATCATCCCTATAATGATTCCAAGACATGTCCTTTCCAGGCTTTCCCTAGCTCTTCTAAACCTTTCAACTTGCATTTAAATCAAATTTTAAAAAGTGAAGTTACTAAAATTCTTCTTCTTATATAGCATATAAGTTGCACAGCTGTGGCTGGAGGCAATACAAAAGTGTAAAGCCTTGTGTGATGTATACAACTTATGTCGCATCTACACCTATGTTCCCCCAGGGACACAGTTGAATAAGATGTCAGATACAGAATTTGCACAGAAATGAAATACCAGACACAATATGCACCCTAGTATAGCTATCCAAGTATCATTGGTCTCAAGCCAAGAGGCGTGTGATTTGCATGCAAGCTGTATCTCACATATAGCTTGGGGATTGTTTTAAATGCCTTGAACAGTTTTGAAAACACAGATTAACAGATACTGATCCAAAGGGCAAGAATCTTACTTGGTCTAGAAGATCTGTTTGTCTTTCCATATGCAAACTCTTCAATGTCAGGAACACTACAAATCTGCAGAGTACATATAAGAATAAGATACATACCATCATAGTTACACCAGCCACCAATATTACATAAGTTCTATGATGACTCAGTATAGCACAGTTCTAAACTCCACTGGAGTGATGAAATACCAAGTTCTGTAAAGGCTGGACTTGAGTTGACTTTTGCAGTGTATAATTATATAGTTTAAAACAAAAGCATTAACAGTAAACAGGATATATCACTGCTATAAGCTTATATCATGAATTAACCGAATTGGTTCCTCACCTTAACATCATGACATATAGCAACAAGGCACCTGTATAGGTAGGTGACTAGGCTCCTGCATAGGGAACAAAAATCACAAGGCAGGTACAGGTGGCAAATGGAGGGGTTGGGTTGGGTTGGATGTGGGTTGAAGTCTAACCCACCCATCAACGATCCACATCTATTGATGACCCATACATCTTGTATGTACATGGATTGCAAACCAACCTAACCCACCCATTGTGACCTATTTGAAATTTTATATATTTAAAACTGTGTAGATAAATGATAAATCCTTATTGCGAAAATTAAAAAAATGATTTTTTCCTATATTGCCACATTTCATTACTTGGTTGATTCAATACAAATGCAAAAGTCAAGATTCATTAAAAAGTAAGATAGAGAAAGAAAATGAGGAATGAGAGAGAGAGAGAGGAAAGAAAAAATATACCAAAATGGATGAGAGCATAGGGAAATGTAGGTAAGAGAAATTCATGAGAGAGAGTAAAGAGGTAAAAGACATAGGGGGAAAGAGAGAGAGAGAGAGAGAGAGAGAGCAAGAGGAGAGAAAATGACAAGGAAATAGAAGAGAAAAATGTGAGGGAGATAGGAAAGAAAAAAGAGAATTTGTAGGAGAGGAGAAAAAAAATAGGGAATAAGGAGAGGAGAGAGAGAATCTGTGAGAGAGAAAAGTGGAAAGAAAATTGGAACAAGAGAGAGGAAAGAATCAGAGAAAACATGAGGGAAAGATGAGAAAGAAAAGAGAGAAAAAAATGAACAGGGAGGAGAGAGAATCCATGTGAGAGATGAGAGAGACAAGAGAGAAAATATAAGAAATATTGGAGGAACCAAAAAGAGAGGATAGAAAAATGTAAGGGAGAGAAGAGAGAATTTGTAGGAGAGTATAAAAAAGGAATAGGGAGGAAAGAGGAAGAGAGGAGAGTAGGGAGAAAGAAATTTAGAGAGATTTTTTTATCAGTAAGAAAAAGATTTTATTAATATCAATATCAAGCATTGCAATAGGTGGAAATTCCACCTTAGAGACACTCTTTCTAATTTATAATTTTGCCCAGAACATTTGGTGCCTTGTTGTCCCTTGTTTGGCTAATACATCTGCCATCCCATTTGCTGATCTTCTCACCATTTGAAGACAACATTCAGCTCCCACGATATGCCTTCTAGTCTATAGGCCCATGGGACTTGGAAGTCACCTCTCGTCCATGAAATGACCACCTGTGAGTCCCCTTCCACCTCCTAGTTGTGGAAACCGAACTGATTAGCAAATTTTAGCCCATGCAGTAATCCACACAACTCTGCTTTCAATGCATTACCATCTGTTAATGGCCCTGAATACAATGCTAATGTCTTTCCTTCCGAGTCCCTAGAGACCCCTCCCAACCCTACCACAGAAATTAAGAGAGAATATTGGAAGTAGAAAGAGAGAGGAGAGAGAGAGAGAGAGAAATTAAGAGAGAAAATTGAAAGAAGAAAGAGAGAGGAGAGAGAATAAAAATTACAATGATGGTGATATAAATCTTTGATATAATGATATAATTGACCCAAATGGATATCCAACCTAACCCAACCCTTTTTATTTAACACAATGGACCAATCAACATATATTCAACCCACATATTAAATGGATGGTTTTAGGTGGGTCACAAGTAGATGGGTTGGATGGGTCAAGTGGATTAGGTTAGCAAATGCCACCCTGAGGGCAGGTGCCTTACTATAATATAATTACTATGGCTACATATTACTAATATGTGTGAATACATTCTATTATATACTAAAATGTCGCTTATACTTTGTTTTAAAGTTTTACTATAGAAATTTAAATGATCCAAGGGTTTTAGAAGATAAAAAAGAAAGAAAGAAGAGAAGAGAAGAATAAACAAGTGTTACAAGATTATGGTGATACTGATCATTGCCTTCTTATCACAATATACTTTCATTGGACCTTCAACAGTGCACCCTAATTCCTGAAGTAAAATTCTTTTTTTATCACCAATTCCTGAAATAGCAATTAACAAGCCCCACATTTCATAGCTATCTATTCTATCCTAGCACTTGACCTAGCAACCACTGGTTGCTTTTTATTCCACCAAGTAACAAGGTTTCCACCAACAAATGTGCAATATATATCAATCAAAAACTATGCAATATTCAACCATTAGTCACAGAAGTCACGTAGTTTGAAACCATATATGCTTCGATTATTGTTTGACTAATGGCTATTATTCTACTGTGAAGGCAAAGATCAAGGTTCAATGGATAAAAGTATGTTACAATAGTATAGAATTCTTCCATAACCAGGGTTCAAATCTTGGAAGCAGCCTCTTTATATGTGCAGGGGCAAGGCTGTGTACATCTGTCCCTCCCCAGACCCCGCATAGGCAGGAGCCTCATGCACTGGGATGCCCTTTATATTTCCATTTCCATGGGAACCAGCACGAAATATTATTGGAATTAACATATTCCACAATAAAAACTACCGATGCTATGTGGAGTACAATAAATAGTACTATAACTTACAATTTGCTTATGACATCATTGTTTTCTGTGAAGGTGAGGAAGAGCAAGAAGCTAGGAGGTTAGGGTTACTGGTGGTGAGAAGCTATTGAAACTAAAGGTGAATATGAGCAAGAGTGTAGTAGCAAGGATTGATATGAGCAATGAAGAAATTGAGGTATGGGATGAAGAGTTAGTTGTTTCTCGAGTGAGTAGCCTATCAAATACTTAGGGCTCCCTCTAGGTGCAAACCTAGAAGGATTAGCTTTTGAAATCCTATAGTGGAGAAGTTTGAAAAGAAGTTGGTTGTGTCTAAGAGGAATTGCTGCTTTTTTTTCCAGTTTATTACCTGTTGGTATTCAATATGCCTCAAGCTGTAGACCGTATAAAAGGAAGTACTGTGGGGGGTTAGGCAAAGTGTTTTCTCCCCTATATTATTTGTTTCTTATTTTCTTTCAAAAAGTGCACATATCAGCTATTATCAAATCAGTTCGATTCTCAGTACCAAAGTTTGTCAAAAGGAAGAACTGATCAAACTTCCAAAGAATGCCTACAAGCAATAATCTAGTTCTCATTTCTCAATAAGATTCTTCAAAAGCTTTTAATGTTAGATGCAGCTTTGACTAAAAAATGCAGGATGAGCAAGACAACACCAAGGCACCACACAATGTTGACAACCTCCTGTTTTGTGTCAATAATTGATGAAATTTTCATGAATTATATGGTACTTGATGATGATACGAAATTCATCTAATCACAATAATCTATACTATATATAAAAAGTGTAAATGCAATGTTAAACTTTTTTTGGACTAAAATTACCCTCTACTTCTTTGCTTGAAAAAGGGTATAAAAGCCATTTTATTACAGCTTCAATGCCAGCTCTAATGGTAAGGTAGAAAATGTAACTTCAATTATTACTTCCCACCTAATTTAATACCCTTTCATTAAGTCTTATACTTAAATTATTAACTCCCATTTTCTCTTATGAAATTAGATTTGTGTCAATATTTTTAACAATATAAACCCATATATTTTAAAACTGACTCAAAAACAAAACCATTTTTAATCCAAGTGGTGGCTAAGCAATTCAACCATCTAAATCAAATTGATCAACCTATGAAGTCATAGTTAGGTAACAAAATTTTAAAATAGAAATAAATATATAGACTTACAAAAAATGTAGAAAAATTTAGACACATTTATGATATTTTTATTAATATCAAATTAAAAAAATAAGTGTAATAAACAAGAATTATTTTTATTGGTAATGAAAATGAAATACATAATTTAGAATTGACCAAAAATGAAATTATTTTACTGTTTGGCAAAGATCAATATATAGTTCAAATTTTGGGTTAAACATATTAACCTTTAAGGTCATAAATAAATAATAAAAGTTAATAAAATATAAAAAGAAAAAAAATCCATAAATTTTGCAAAAAAAATAGGCACATGTATAATATCATATATTTATCATATTAAACAAAAAGTAAGTGTGAAAATACAAAAAAATACAAAAGTTATAAAAAAATAGGCACATGTATTTTTTTACACAAAAATACAAAAAAAAAGTTATAAAAAAAATTGAACACATGTATAATTCTATTTTTACACCACTATTAAAATTTTGAATAAGATTGTGGAACTTTCTTTTGACTAAAATACTCATTTTTGAATTTAGACCGTATTTAATTATGAGGTTTAAATTGCAAATTGAACTACTACTTTTCACCCCATTCAATTCCCTCTATTTAAATATTACATTTTTTGATAAATGAACAAAAAAAAGATACACTAAAAAGATTAAATATTACAAAAAGAAGGATCTAGACAAGCAAGTAGGCCTACCAATGATACTTGAAACTTCACAACTCAATCCAGTTATCACATATTTGGATGAGGTGTTTATGTAATCAGATTTGGATTTTCAATCCACATGATTATTAATAAAAAACAAAAAATATAGAAACAAAAAAATAAAAAATACATAAAGTTTATAAAAAAATTTGGATACATTATTACTATCATTATCATCATCTAGAATTACCATGTGCAAAGCACATGCACACTTACTAGTGGTTTTAAAGGATCCAATGTCACATGAAGATTGAGTTGATTAGTTATGTTACTTCTTACAGTTTTAAAGAATGTCCAGTCTAAATTATTGGTGCCATCATGATGATTATTCTGATTCAATTATCATTGGAGAGTCTCATGGAGAAGATGGTGCAACTGCTTTTGTGCTTGAACATATGCAGCCAAGGACAAGGAGTAGCTCACAAAATGATGCTCTTAGTTGGTCCATTGATCTTAGATTAGATCCCTAACAGAATGCCAAACCAAGATTCATGCAACCAACCTCATTTAGTTGGGACATGCTTAGATGATGGTGATGATCTTACATAGATCCCTCAAAATTTGGTATCTGGGTAGATGTTGTTTAAGGGAAATGGAATGATACATTCATAATTTTTATTAAATATTAGTATAAAGGCATGTTTCTTGCACGTCTGCATGTAAATGTCTTAATCCATTGATAGGATTTGAAGACTAAAATATTTAAACAAATGCTATTTATAAAAATCTTATTTGATATGATGCTATTAAGATTAAATTACTTGCTAAGGTAGCGGTTAACCGTAAATGTTGTAACGTGTGGACTTCTATCCCTGAATGCATGAAATGTCTCATTGGCCATGAAAAAGTGCTTGTATCCGTTGATTGTTGAATGGATCAATGGAATTGGTTTTTCCGCCCAAAATTTAAAAAAAAATAAAAAAAAAAAAAGATCATGGCTTTGACGGATACGAAGGCTAGTATCAGCATTATATGGTATAGATTTCAATAGGCTCAGTTTGCAAAGAGTACAGATATAAATATGTAAAGTGGAAATATATACATAATAATATCAAATACAAGGTTTTGCACTCAGCATATTTGTATTTGTACTCCTTCCAAACTGAGCCTTTGTGAAAATGTAGATATTAGTATTATTAGTTAAATTAACATAGCAAGTAGTCATGCAGAGGGTTAGATTTAGATTTGATAAATTCAAATAGGATTTTAATCAATAGTTTCATTTGGTAGGATTTTATTTGAATGATGGATTAATATAGAAAATAGGACTTTCGCTCTTATAAATTCTAGATGTTGTATGTCTTGATTAGTTCAGGAATCAGAAGTTAAAAACACAAAAAAGGGTTTTTCTCTTACGAGGCCCCCCACCCTCAAATTGGTTTCTCAACAGAATACAACAAGTTTTGTAGGGATAGGTCGGGCCCAAATCTCTTTTAAAACTTGCAGAAAGGCTCAGTTTGGAAGACTTGCAAGGCCCAGAATGGTGTTTCTTGTGCAAGGCCCAGAATGAGGACTGTTTCCATTTGCTGATTTCCTGCTCCCTTGCTACAGACTTATGGAGTTTGAGCCTTAGTTTATTTGGAGGGAGGTGGTCTCCGCCAACTGATTTGAGTATGTTATTTAACCCTTCTTTTTTTGTTTGGCACACTAGAAGAGGCAAGTTCATGCGGATATGTGTCAGGGCAGCAACCTTATGAACACTATGGGAGGAAAGGAATGCAAGAGTTTTCTTAGAGAAGGAAAGAAGATTAGAAGAAGTGAAGGACCGCATTCTAATAAGAGCAATACATTGGCTGAAAACCTTGGAGATATTCGATGATTTCTCTTTTGATGATTTGTGGAGGAATTGGTTAGTAATAGCTAATACTTCTACAAAGAAGAAYAAACGCTTATCAGAATGGGATCCGCCATTAGAAGGTATCATCAAGTTAAATTTTGATGGAAGCAACCAAGGTAACCCTGGGCCATCAGGTATTGGGGGTGTCTTGAGGAACAAAGACAGCAACATCATCTCCTTATTCTCAGGACTGGTGGGAGTGGGGGACTCTACGAGGGCGGAAATACTAGCTGCAGTACAAGGAATTTTGATTGCTAACCAGCTTGGGGCGGAGCATCTCCTAGTTGAAGGGGATTCTCACGTGGTAACAAGGTGGCTGCTTAACCCAGATGCTACCATTTGGGGTTACAAAGAACTCATCAAAAAAGTAAAGTGGTTAAATAGGAACATGAGATTTGAGGTAAAATAGGTAAGTAGGTCAGCTAATACTATGGTTGATTCTCTGGCTAAACAGGGGTATCCAGGGAGGTCATTTTTTATGCTACTTTGTAAGTTGTTATAATATAGTGGAAGCTGTACTTAACTAATAAATGAAAGCTACTTTGTAAGTTGTTATAACAACTACTTTGTAAGTTGTTATAATATTGTACTATTCTCCTCTGCTGATTAAATAAATCTCATTCATTTATCAAAAAAAAAAAAACAAGTGAACACTAATAAATGAAAGCTAAAGAAATAAATCTTCCCTTTCTTTAAAAACTTACTTTCTCTTCCAGAGGTTCTGTTTTGGGTTCCACTGATGATATTTCAACTGTCCTCTTAACTCTCTTTCGTCCGGAAACGCCGTTAGAAGATTTAGAACCTAAGCAACAGAGTCAAAAAAAAACAAATAAATAAAAACAGCAAAAATTAAATATGGCTTCAATATTTATAAGAAAAAATAAAACCCCTATTCAGAAATCTGAGATTCTTACTCGAGCTTGTCTCTGAAACTGAAGCATCGGATTTGGCTGTAAATTTTCGGGAAGAAAACCTTGTATTCAACATTCTCAAGGTCAGTGGCTTTCCCTTGCCATGGTAATGAAGTTTCTCAGTTGGGTCAAATAAAAGAGGACACTCAAGTTCAGTCGTGCATAGTGCATACGAACACCGAAGTACAAAACTTCTCAAGAGATAATGAGACAACATTCGAATCGAGGGAAGAAGCATAGCATGTCAGCATGTGTAATTTACGATTGGCGGGATTTTCAAAGTAGGTGTTTGGCATCGGGGAATACAATACTTTCTTCCGGTGCTTAACTGTGCTTATTTTTTTGTTTGGAAATGGTACTGTCTGTTTTTCGAAAAAATAGCACTTGGTTTTGTTTGATATCATTATTCTAGCATTGGCTATAGTATTCAACGTTCAAGATTATTCTACATCATTACACCACTCACAGCAACGGCTGAGAAAATATTGAATTTGACATATATGATGTGATTCGTACATGGTATCATTTTCTCAAAAAACAACATCCATGCCAAACATCACCTAAATTGATTTTGTCAATTTGTGCATTGTGTGTCATTTGGCCATTTAGGATGTGACCGGATCTAGTCCTACCACCAACCCCACAACACAATATCACATTACAATTGTGTATTAGAAATATTCTCATTAATAACAACATACAACTATAGAGATGTTCTCGATGTACTACTGCAATGTGTGGTATGGTTGGTGAAAGGAGCAGAGGTGTAAAGTGTGGGCTAGCATGGCCCATATTTTCAAGTTCACATATGCACTCCGCGCATACGTGAATTCCACATTTTCGTATTGCCCACACCCTGGCAAACCGTACCAACACAGCCCGTGTATGTTGGGGGTGGGGCCAGGATGAGTTTCCACGTTTTTGTTTCATTTTCTTTTTTGTTTTTACTACTGTAAGTACAAAGTGGTCACTAAGACCTTGAGAGTACAAAGGGTGTCAAACCAACACTATACGGATGCCTGCACGAATCCATATCCATAACCCATTGCACGCTTGCGACGAGTCCATCGCAAATCTTCGATGAACCAATACTCGAAACGGGTCGCGATGAACATCCACTAGCACGAATCCGCAATAAACCTTAGACATACATAAACTTGCGATAAAGCTTAAATATGCGCGAATCTGCGATGATCTATAAAGACGCGCACGGATTCGCGATGAACTTCGGACAAGTGTAGAGTTGCGATGAACCCAAGACCATTACAGAACCGTGGAATCACAGTAGATCAGGAATAAATGTCGGTTACACGTGCATATTTAAATTACGCATGTAGATTTAATGAAAGTACGTCTGCTAAACAATGACGTCGCTCACGCCACGTCAGTATAATAGGGTCACATACGGAGAGAATCCGGAATGGATAGGATTTCTAATGATGCTCCCTTAATAGCCAAATAAATAAAAGATTTCATTTCCTAACAGGAAAGAACTCCTTTAATTTCTTTATAGCCTTTATTTTCTCTCTATAAAAAGGGGGAGAGCAATTCTCCCCCAAGGGGGGACAACAACTTTGGACCTAGGGTTTCTCACGAGGGGATTTTCCCTTCTCTCTTCTCCTCTCTTCTTGACGTCTTCTCTCATCCCCATCGTCTTTTCAAACCTTCAGAGACATTACAAACTGCTAAGATTCCATGGTACTTACAACTACAAAAAGTAATATATATATATATATAATGAAAATCTCAAGGAAAAATGAAAAATCCAATTATTGCAACAACAATTTCAAAAAATAATAAATTTATATTTTATTTCATATAAATAATTAATTCATCCAATAAAAATATAAAATGATTAAATGAAACTAGAAAATGACATTAAAATTGAAAATATCTTTCCCATTATAAAAAAGAGAAATGGATGAATCGTCCATCATCCAAATACCCTTATTTTATAGTTCCAATTCTACCCCTCTCCCCTCTTAAAATGACTGAAGCGAATATGACAAATAGATTTTGGGCATCCTACCCCTCCCTCATTTCTTATTTCCAATATTATTCATTGTTAAAATGCTTGAAGCGAAGGGGACAAGTAGATTTTGGGCGAACACCCTCATTTCTTCAATATGATGTTCCTAATTTTTATTTTAATTAAATAATTAGTTTAAATGGAAATTATATTGTAATGTTTTTAAATGTAAACAAATTCTCTCAAAAAGAAAATTGAACAAAAAAATTCTTCTACCAAGACGAGCATCTCGGTTTATTTTCACAAAAATTCTTCTATCAAAGATTGCTTACACCATTATCAACACACCTTGAAATAACCAAGAAATTAAATCCAATCCCAAGCTATTAAGTTCTGCATAGTTTCATTTGTACATCCTGAACCAGAAGTGACACCATTATAACTATCAGCTCAGAAAGAGAGAGAGACCTGTATTTGGAGAAATGGATGAAGCTGTGGAGAGAAAGAAGGGCAAGCCCAATACCCAATACCCAATACTCAAAATCCAATCCCTATGACCCAATTCCATAAAAAGAATGAATTCAAAAACCACTCTTCCCCTGGCTTTGGCAAATATATCAACTTTTCATAACATAAGGTTGATATACATTATATATACCCAACTTGCACCCAGAACAGATCTTGTTTATTTATCCCTTTGCTTAGCCAATGCATCTGCCATTGCCTTGGCTATTCTTACTACTCAATTAAAACTGCAATGCAAATCCCTTTACAGCCTTTATCTCCCTCATGATGCTTCAATATTGTGATTTTACGAAGCTATTACTCCCTAGCCAGCCTAGCAGCAAGACTACATCAATTCAACTAATAGATGATAGATCTATGAACAAATTGAAACCAAAAATGACACAAAATAACTTATAACAACTGGAGTGTTTAATGTTTTTATCACTTTTTACCAATTAATGATTTTATTCCTGCCTTGTTATGTTCCTAGTCTATTTTTTTCCAATAAAGATTTATGACTTATCACCACAGAATGTGGAACCTGAACATCTAGCCCTCCCTCCCATCATTCAACAACTCAAATTGCACTCATCATATGACAATTTAAAACTGTTGGATTAAAATATCATGAAAATCAGTATGAACTAAAATATCATGAAAACTGAATTTTGAATTAAAATATGTTTGAACTTCAGTTCTTTGCACTCTAAATTGTTTAGTTAATGTATTGTTTTAATTTTTTTGAATGGAATTTGTTTATACGCTACTTTTTTGTGCTATTAGTCCAGATTGGCCAATTTTTTTGGGCTAGAAGTAAAGCATAGAAAGTAGATAACCGTGGAGCTGAAATAAAATATCATGATATTTTGAATTAAAGTTTGTATGAACTAAAATATCATGAAATTTAGTATGAACTAAAATTATCATGAAAACTGAATTTTGAATTAAACTTAAGCTCAGAACTGTGCCATATCTTGAGATTTTCTAAACTTAATTGAGTCTTGGTAATGTTATCTAATGTTGGTCATTCCTCAATTTCTTTTATTTTCCCCTTTAGATATATTATCTATTAGATTAAGCCCAAACAGCCATGGATTAGAAATAAATCCTATAGACAAAGCATATATGTAAGTCTATAGAGGGCACTTATAACTCTAATGACGAATCTCATTAGCAACCATTCCCTTTTTGTAATGTTAATATTAACCTTTAATTATTGAAAAGTTTGGACTCATCTCTTTCATGTTTTTGGCCCCATGTGACAGTGGGTCATCTGGTGTCTGCATATTGAACACAATTTATATGATTTAGGCTCTTTAACCCTTTGCTATAGAATGATGGCAACACAAAATTTTCAATAAAAATACATTGAAGTTTCTTTTTAATTCCATTCAACATTTTGTTTGATCCATAAAAATACATTGAAGTTTCTTTTTCTTTTGTTTTCTTTTGTTTACTATTTTTGSTTTCCTTAATTTAAAGGAAACATATCACACAATTGTCTTGTTTTTCATTTTCTTTCCCAGATACAAGTTAAACATTCACATGGTTCATACAAGTTATTGTGGAGGGATTGCTCTTATTGGAATTACTTGCGCATAGTAGTTTCTTAACCTTTTGTTAATTTATTTGCCTCCTTGTGCATATACAACTACAATCACAAACTAAATACATATGCATCAATCATGGTACATGTTTATACTTTTGCATACTTTTATATATTTGCATTGACATTATATATTAAGTGGAATCATTAATCATGTTTTAAGTTAATTATATTTTCTTAACCTTATCAGTCCTGCTCAATTAGGATTAAAGAAATTGAAGTTTAGTTTCATTTTAGGTCAAAGCTTCAATAATCAAACAAATTGATGCTAACACAGCCAATTAAGAATCAACCTAAGTGACTACACCCAACTTAGTACGTTCTATACATGATTATGATTAATCATTCACTGGTTTAAATTCCCTATGCATCGCACAGGCCATTCTACTAGTTATAATAAAATGATCAAATGATGTGTTGGGTCATGTCGTGAGCCATGTTTGGGTTTAGGCCATGGGCCATGCCAGCACAAGCCCACATGGGCCACGAACCAAGAACCCTTGGCCCAACCCAGCCACAAGGGTTGTTTTGTGCCTGGCAATGACTCGTAACTATAGCTGGCGGGTCGTGCCAGCTTGCGAGCGGCCCAACTCATCACTATAGCTGACGGGTGTAGCTTTCCTATTCAATTATGAGAACAATGGAAAACTTCTTTTAGGACTCTCTAGAGTCCAAACTATAAGAGCTATAGAGATGGAGACTAGGGTAAGCAATCTAGTCAAATTAGTCTAGCTTTGAGGGTAACTGGGTAAGCAATCTAGTCAAATTAGTCTAGCTTTGAGGGTAACTGGGTAAGCAATCTGGTCAAATTAGTCTAGCTTTGATAACCCTAATTCGGCCAAGAGTGAGAGAGAGATTTCTCCCCTTCTCCCACCATTGTTTTTACAAAAGGTCAACATCTTTTAGTATTATTTATGACTTAGCATTATTGTATTCGATCCAGTCCCATGAGTGCAGCAACTACACATTGATTCATAATCTAGTACCGGTTTGATAACCATTGGAGTTGTGCCATTTTAAGCGCTTAAAGTGGATTTGAGATCTTGTTATTTGCGCATGTTTAACACAATTGAATATGCACTTGTGGACTTTATATCAAGTGACATCCTATCCAATTTGTTGGGACCAATTTTGGCATGATTATTCTAAATCGACCCTATAGAAAAGTTGTTTTCTCATGTAAAATTCAATTTATAAGTGGGTTGGTCTTGAAAATTTTTTAAGTTCACTATTCCTCGCCAATATTTATCTTTATGTTACA